TATATATATATATATATATATATATATATATATATATATATATGCAGCAGTTTAGCGTTTCACCCCCTCCTCCTGAACCTCACCAGCTGGACCAGAACTTTTCAGAGCGGCAGAAATGGGTTAAAGATCAACAAACTGCTTCTCCGGCTTATTGTTTCCAGAACACAAACAGACGAATCTGAACAAAGATCACGTGGAAAAACATGACGGATGTATTTATTCCCGCCTGTCGGAGCACATGGCAGCTCCAGTTTGGGTTTAACTCACACACCCTGAAAAATGCTGGGTTGTTTTCTTAACTGTCTGGTTAAAGATGCTGGGTTTGACTCCATGTTGGTCAGAGAGGAGCCGTGCTATGCTTTGGTCTGTAGTTTAAGCCTGTCGTTGAACTACTTTAGGATGAAATGACTAAAGCTATGACGATAAAGACGTAAGAAAATTAACTTTATCATTTATAGCTTGCTCTAGACAGTGAGTTAGTTGGTGCTAGCTAGCTGATGCTCATAGCAATTAGCTCCAGCTAGCTAGCACCAATCCAAGATGTGATTATATAGACTTTGACGGTCTTATTGAACAAGTAATTGAACCCAGTCGTTGTAAAGTCTGTGTGGTCCAAGTGATACCCTGCTGAGGTCCACCCCCTGGCTGGTTCGCTCCAGGGCAGGAGTACAAACTGGACTGTTTTAAACCCAGCTGTTTTTAGAGCGTGTAATTTAAGGTAAATATATGATGCTCTTTGGAATTTGATGGAGGCTTCATTCACCTCTGGTGATTTTAATTTGAAATCTGGAAAAAATGAACATAAAAGCAGGATATTAATATTTTTTTTTATTTATTTAAACATTTCACCAGAAAACTCTGATAAGTAAAACAATGTAGTGATAAAAGTTTTGTTTGTATTTTCTTAGGAATATTTTGAAATCTGAAAAATGACTAATTTAATTACCTTTTTTTTTTTAAATATGCAAAAAAATCTGACTTTATTTCAAATGAATCACAAAAATATATTTTAAGAGATGCTGTGCGTGTGTAAAACAACAGGTTTTGAGTCTTTGTTGTATTTGGGGGGGGGGGGGGGGGCAATGCAGTTGTTGACAAACGAAGCCAAACAGAAAAATAATTTGGCAGCTGATAATCCGCGTTAAAGATGAAATGTGCATTTCGGGAAGTGTGGCGCGTGAATGTCCGAGTGTCCCTGAACGCATCTGGAGGCCTGTGACGTGCGCCTCCTCCAGCAGCCAGTCAGAGGAGGATGCTCTGAACGCAGGACTGCAGCATCTTCAGCGCCACCGCGAGCCGCACAAACCGTCTCTTTCTGTGTCTTCCTCCAGCCCCGGACCCCCGCCATCACCCGCCATCACCCGCCAGCCCGCCGACCCACGCGTGTCTCCACGGCACGAGCAGGGCAGGACGAGCCGGAAATCTTTCCAAGCAGTCGGATTTTTCTCGGACCACCTCGCGCTCCGGCTGGTTCGTCCTCTTTGTCTTGGGTTCTTGTTGTGTTCTCGCGGAGGAGCCGCCGGGCACGAGAGCTGCTTGCAGCGGGATGACACGCGCGCACAGCACGCACGTGTGAAGCTTGATGGAAGAGTAAAGAGCCGCCTGCTTTGATTCGTGTTTCTCCGCAGGAGGAGCGCTCCTTTCTCTCTCTCTCCGTCTGTGCGCAGCATCTCTCTGTACGCGGACACGCGCAGTCAACCTGCCCCGTGCGTCACAAACAAGGCGTATTTCCTCCATTCTTAAAGCTCCGTTCCGACGATTCACCGTCCGCTCGGCTGCGCTGCGTAAAATCTGAGAAGAAGAAAAAAAAAAAAAAAACGACGCAAAGGGGGGATTTGAACGCACGCGCAGCTTAAAGCATCCAAGAGCGAGCTCGAAAATGATGGCCGGCGGAGCAGTGCAGCAGAACGGCATCTTCTCCAACCCGCACCATCACAGTCAGCAGCCCCACATGGAGTCCGACCCCCCGGATTCACGGAAAAGACCCCTGGAGACCCCGACGGAGGCCAGCAGCACCAAGCGCACGAACACGGGAGGTAAGAGCTGCGATGGGGATGCTGGGGGGGGGGGGTCGGTGTGAGACATAATGGCAGACAGAAAAACGCGCTCAGCTCAGAGGAGGTTCGGTTCTTGTAAAATCAGCTCCGCTGCTTCTGGTGGGAACAATAAAGGGAGGGGGAGGGGGGGTCCGCTGCGCACCCTGCCCGGAATCATTCAGCCTCTTTTAGCTCAGCCCAAATTCCCGTTGTGGTGTTTTTTATTTTTTTTTATTTTATTTGAAATTGAGGATTTGTTCCTGCGCGTGCTCGCGGCGGCCATGCTGGAGCGGGACGGAGGATGTAAACAAGTGAAAGCAGCATCCTCCCGTCGACGGATGACCTTGCGCTGATCTCACATCAGCCACCATCTCAGCCGCCGCCGTGCGCGTGCAGTAATTACACAACACGCCGCGGATAAACAGGCGGGCCTGTGGCGCGTGACCAGTGGCGGAGCTAGAGGTTTCTGGTCTTGGGTGGCAAAGATGGCGCACTGAATTACATTCAGGTTGTTTATGTTATAATTTACACTTTAGGGTTGAAAATAATAAAATGTGTGACCTAATGCTGGGTCTGAGTAGTCACCCCCCAAAATACTGGCTTAGATTTCTATTTAAAAAGGGTTAAAGTTTCTAAATTATTGAATCAGATAAGAATATGGGCACCAGTGACCCCCGCCACCTGCGATGGATGAAGCCGGTAAAGATGATGGATTTTTAGATGATTACAATTTGGGAAGGTGCCATGTTATTTTAGGAACCCCTACTCACTGTCGAGCGCAAACTGAAGGTCTTAAAGAACCCAAGCAGCTCAAATCTTCATGTTTTTACCGTCTTAGTTTTACTAATTACACCTTAAAGCAGAGGTCCAGTCAGACGGGTCGACTTGTGGACTGTGAAGAAGGACGTGGCTCACTTGTTTACTCTCCCTTAAAGTAAAGAAATGTATTTTAAACAAAAAAAATATATATATTAAGACCCAGGACAAATCTGTTGCTGCTGTGGTTGATATTCGAAGCAGGAGAAACAGTCAGTTTGTTTAATCAGATATGAAGTATCGTAGTTTTTACACAGAACTACGCTTTGGCTCACTGAAGCTACAAAAAATAGCTGTTTAAGCTGCTTTTTGTCTATAGACAATGTTTTGTTACAGCTACAAGAAGGAAAGTTACCATCTAAAAACTTAAAGCACAACAACAACATGAGGCTAAAAGGAGGAAAACGTAGCTAAAAAAAATAAAAAAGCTAAATTTGAGCCAAGTGTTGGAAAATAAAAGGTAAAGGTAGCAAAATGCTAGCTAGCAGAACACTAGCTATAATAGGGCCCCCCTTGACCTCCTTATTTAATCTTCTCAATGTTGGAAACCGTAGCTCTGACCCAGCTGGGTTCAACTTTCTGAGCCAATATTTGATCACCGATGACCCAAAGCTCTGGCCCAGTAATAAAAAACATAAAAACAGCCTCAATAAAAGCGGTGCGCCGCGTTAAGAACCGGTGATCGGTTAACGATTCCTTTTTGTTCAAGAGTAAATGTTTTAGAAAAAAGAAATAAATAAGTAAGATGTCTTTCAGAAGATCTTGGTTCTGATTTGTTCGAGTCCCGTAAACTTTCAGGGCTGACGAAAGTTGTGGAAAAGCACCGGTAGTTCGGCTCCGGGGTGGAAAAGCACCGGTAGTTCGCTGATCTTGAAAGCGTCTCGCTCCAGTTGGTGAAATTCAGGCGAGGTGTGCGCTCTAAACCTAAGGCTGAAATTCTCCGCAGACGTTTTACTACAAGTAGGGTGGCAACCAGGGTGGCAAGATTTATACATCTGCCCTCCGTGCTACCCTCTAGAACCGGCACTGGGTGCGCCAGAGAAAGAACGGGGAGAGCCCGGAGCGGCTCTGAATACGACAGAGTCGGCCTTGTTGTAGATTTCCATCAGAAGAAGAAAGAAGGCCTTGATGTAAATGTTTCTTTTTTTTAAATGTACGAATTTAAAACGATGTTGCGATGATGTTTGTCATGATGGTCAGGTTGGATGGAATGTGTCACCATGGCGATCACCACATTTGGTTTTTGTTTACATGCTGTCATGCGCCAAGCATTCCCATCACCGGCATTAAACCATCAGTATATCTACACCCCATCATGGACATATAATCCAGCTTTAATGGAGCTCTGAGCTGAAACACAACACCCGGCAGGCCGGAGGACGAGCCAGGGCTGCTTTTGATCTGCAACCACCTCGGCACCAAGAAGGACCTCCAATATTTATTATGTTAAACACGGCCAAATTACAGTTCGTGCACATTAACGTCAAGGTTTCTAGTCGCACGGAGAAGAACGGTCGAAGCTGAGAATTTAGTCTGATAGTGTGAAGCACAGAAAATCTACAAACACGTCACGAGAAATGATTTAAAAAGTCCACTCGGTTTGTTTTTTAAACGAGCCACTGCTGCCCGGATCACAGAGGTCTGGACTGTTTATTCAAATTAAAAAGTAAAGCCAATTTTAATGAACGGACTTATTTTAAAGGCTCGTGGCAACGAGAGAGAAAAGGTCAAAAATACAGAACATCATGGAGCCAAAAAACAAAACCGACGTATTCATATTACGCAGCGTGAACACAAACGGCACTAATTTAAAAAAATAATAAAGTTAAAGTCATTCCACAAATAACTCGGCTGTTGATTTATTGGTGATGATTTAAATCTGACTTATTCCAAACTCTCTTGAGAGTTTTATCTATAAACCTCAAACAGAAACGACGCTAAAGTTTTGATAGAAGCGAAACAAGGCCCGGCTCGTCTGCGTGCACCAACTGCAGCTGTTTGCAGACGACGCTTCGCTGTGTCCGACAGAAGCAGGCAGTTTTATTATTAGCGAAAGCCAGACTTCCACTCAGTCAAAATGTTGTTTTACAGTTGAAAAAGCTCAAATATGTATTAAGTAATAATATTTATGACCTCTAAAGAGAGAGAGTTTATTGTAAGGAGCCGTGGCAGCCATGTTTGCGAGCGCGTGGGACTGAGCCGCGGTGTTTAACCGCAGATTGATGCAGCACTCAGAGCACTAAAGCCTCTTCTGACTGTATGTAAAAACCCACAAACACCCCCCACCCCCCAAGGGGACCTTCCTTCAGCCTGCGTTAACAGCCAGCTCGTCCATTTAGACAAATGAAAAGCTCGGCCCGATGACGACGCCCAGACTTCCACTCAGGCGGAGCGGACGCTCTCGGCGTCGGAGCAGGAACTGAACGCACTCTTCGGGGTCTTTCGTTTACCTGTTTACAAATGTATTTCGCTCCAGCGTAATAAACGAGAACCCGTCTTCGTGAGCTTTAAATCCAGACCAGCTAGAGTCAACTCCTTCGTTGACGTGACGGTTTGGATTTCTGGCCTCAGGTGGTGAGATTCCACCCGGACACAGGCTGTTTGTTTCCACTGAGAACATGTTTTTACGAAAGTCTTTCTGAAGCTGCGCTCGGGCTGCACGTTCTAAAGTTAGAGGTCATGATGCTGGTTGTTTGACGCCACACACCCCCACCCCTGTGCTTCCTCTCTCTGTAGTGGCCTTCCTGCAGCCCATATTTGAATCTGAAGGCATTGTTTACCCTCAACAAGAAACTGACACTCATGGTAAGACAGACTTTGATCTTTTACCTGTTTTTATTTATTTTACTATCTAATCTTAACTGTAACGTTCTTCAATGCAGCACTGAGTGAGCAGCAAGACAAAAGATAAGCGTTAAATTTTAGGGCCTGACGTTTGAAGTAGGACCTGAAGTTACATGAAACACGTCATTCCTGTCATTTTTCAGGACAGTGCACGCTGAAACTCTTTCTACTGTGTGTTACCAGTTCCATAACATCCATTGTCATGCTTTTTATGCAAAACAAATCAGTTTATTTTTGTCATGACCTCCAACCTACCTGCACAGATTGAGTGCTGGTGACCTTTGACCTCATGCTGGCCATTCATCTGCTGCTGTTTTGCTGAGATCTCCATCCTTTGTTTGTTCAAATGTGATCAAAACGCTGCGGTGGGAAAAAAAAACAAACAAAAAAAAAAAACCGCGTCTGCTCGTGCTGGTTTTTACTAACAGATATGAATGTATAAAACAGTTTGTTTCAGAAATGTGTTTAAATAAAAGTTGAATTTATTCTTTTTCTGCTGGTAAATCCTCAGGTGGAAGGTTTGTGTCCAGATATTTGCATTCGTTGCCTCTTTCAAGAGATGAATTTCATTTTATATTATTTCTCTGAGCGTGTGGATGGGTTTGCATTCATGTTGTGTGTGGGGGTTTGTGTGTGCCGGGGGGGTAAAAAGGCCAAATCGACCTAAAAAAGCAGAAGCTGGTCGGCTGTCAGCGAGCGTACGCACCAACATGGACGCCCACGGCCCCGCGGGTCGTAAATCCTGCACATCTCACAAAAAGCCGAAGGTCTTAGAGACGGACAGATCAATGAGGAGCTGCAGCGGCTGCTGTTCACATCCCCCCGCCCCTCACCGCTCCTCTAATCCACCGTCACAAACCCATTCTCAACCCGCCCCTCACCCATGCAGCACAGCCGGCGTCCCCCCCACTATTAAAGGACTTCAGATTTCCCTCTCATCTCCGCACGGTTCATATTTGATTCACTCTCGCCCGTTTGAACCTCAAGATGACGACGGGCTAATAAATAAGTTACTCTCTCTTAGTGGTTTTTATGATTTATGGATTACGGAGGGTTTAGTTTTTTGCATTTGAGTAAATCTTAGATACGTTTTCCAAGAGAGTGACAGGAGAATAAATGTTTAGCTTCAACTAAAAATCAAATTACCGTATTTTTAGGATTATAAGGCGCACTTAAAACACGGCGCTCAAAAAATCCGTCAGAAGTAACTGTTTTCACTTAATGTATGAAAAATACGGTAAATAAAGGGCGTCCTGTTTGAAGCTGCAGAACTGAGCTGATAAAACTTTACAGCACCTGAAATGTTTTATAAAATTACTTCTCCAAGAAAAAAATCCATGCAGGATTAAAAAAAAACATTTAATTGGAGATTGCCTAGTAATGCAGCCACCTATTATTATCCACCCGACAAGGGTTTCTTAACTTTATATTTTACTCTTTGTCAACTTTAATGCGTCCCGAACCGCAGCGTGTACCTGTTAAATCAAAATGACCGGCTCGGCACCGTACTTTTATTGACGTTCCTAGTTACCATGGCGACGTAATTTGCAAACAAATATGCCGTTTTTATTAGTCATTTTTCACAGACTCTGGTTGCAAATCAAATATCCAAGATGGCCGCCTGAGCTAACAAGGAAAAATACTGTCAATCAGTCATTTGTAGAGATATTAAGCTGAAATTTGGTGTGTTAGTAGCTGAGACTAATGTCCAATTAATAACAAATTAAAAAAAAAAATTCAAGATGGCCACCAAAGCTCAGTTTAAATGGCTCTAACTCGGCTATTTTTACACACAGAGCCTGACACGCCGGCATCGAGTCTGGGAATATTTTCAGAGGAGCTTTGCGAAACATTCTGGAGACTCACGAACGCATTCGCCAACTAGCCGCAGCCGAAAGAGGCGCTAGCTTTAAGCTATCGGCTCAAAAAGTAGCCGAAGAGATTTTTTTTCTTCTTCTTTAAATTAAAAACTTAAGGTTTGACATGAGCTGCGCATTCAAGTTCAGACTGAGGTTCTCTCTCTGAAGCGCTGCACAGTTTCATAACTACAATAATTAAATGCACAAAGTTATTTAATAGTTAAGTTTAATTAGTTATATAATCTGAGGTCGTGCCAGCACAAGTTCGTTTTTAGGATTATGGGTTACATTTATCAAGAGTCAGAGCAGGAAGCAGAATCAGGGAGTTCAGCAGCTTTAAGGAGTCCCCCCCCCCAACTGGACCAGCTGTTCTGCTTTTCCATCTTAATTTTAGGAAATAAACATCAGAGTGGAACAACTTTAATGTTTTAAAGTGCGGGTCAGCTGCACACAAACCAAGTTTCACTCCTGACATCATTTTATACTGTTTTACTGCCACCCCCCCCCCCCCCCCCACCACCTCTTAGACGGTTTATTCATTTAGTAAATGGACGGGCTGGCTGCTGTTGGGAAACAGGGTGGATGTCCTTGCCAAGTGACGTTAGAAGACTTGCCTGGCATTAAACTGGATGATTTCTGCATGTGTGTGTGTGTGTGTGTGT